GTATAATCTTTTTACAAAACTAGCTAAAACTAAATGAAATTATAGGTAGAATATCCTTTGTTTTAGTGTTGGTCAATTTATTTTGAGACGTGGATTTTATTTATTTATTTATTTATTTCAAATCGAGTAGTTTCACATTAGCTGTGGGCTGTAACAGTGACTTGTAGTGGAAACAGGTGATAAAACAGGTGGAATACTTCTCAAGGGAAAAACTGCATGAATCAAGCTCACACAAGATGACTGAGTATCTTGACACACTAGCTTCTCTCAGTAGCTCCAGTAAAAAACAAGCAACAAGTTTCACCAGGTTGGAGACAACTATTGTCATCGTCCTAAAATAATCACCCAAGTTTTTTGTTGGCAAAACTGAGTTATACCATTATTTTATTAAGGTGTCACTATAACGGACTGCTTATAGTGACCAAATAGCTGCTGGTTAATTAACTCACAGGAACATCACAAGTTGGAGGATGCAWTGGCAAATATGTTTATTCAAACTATAAACAAACTAATATTAGAACTAATAAAAACTAAACTAAAAATAAGCATTAAAAATGCTATAATTAATAAAAACTAGCAAATCCACTGTAAAATCTAATTAAAACTGAATTAAAAGAGAAACGTCACAACAAAATAAAACTGAGCTATAATGAAAAATCCAAACTATTCTAACCTTGTTTCAGGGTACGATGATATCTCTGACTGCATCGACCTCATCATCTGTCTGGGGGGTGATGGGACTTTGCTCTACGCCTCCTCTCTTTTCCAGGTATTTAAAAACCTGAAAAAGTACTATTATAAACAGTTAGTTGTCAGTAAACAAAACTTTTTTATTATAAAGATTTTATTCTCAAATCTAAAGGAGCTCTGCTGATTGTCGTGGTGGTTGTGTGCAGGGCAGCGTCCCACCGGTTATGGCCTTCCACCTGGGCTCCTTAGGATTTCTGACCCCCTTCAAGTTCGAGTCCTACAAGACTGAAGTCACCAAAGTGCTGGAAGGTAAACACGCAGCAGCTTTTATAGATCTAAACCTCTGAATCAGCAGCTTCACGGTGCCGATGTTCCTCTGGGCTCCCAGGCAACGCGGCCATCACCCTGCGCAGCCGCCTGAAGGTGAAGGTGGTGAAGGACATGCTTCAGAGGACCGGACAGCAGCCCGGCAGCAGGGACGCCCAGCTGGAGTCTAACGGACTCCTCCCTCACGGACACACCAACAGCGAAGCCGGCAAGGTGACCCTGCAGCTGCAGGTACGACCCGGCCAGGAGCAGACTTGTTAAAGCAGCGGTTTTTCTCAATTAAAACATGGAGGAAAAAAAAAAGAAACATTTCCGGTGGATGTTTCTGCATTTAACTGCCGTCAAAACTTTTCCTCTTCATTTTATATTTCACTCACAGCGTGTGCTTTAAAGTAAAAATGTGTTTTGTGTTTATCAAGTTAGAAACATCTGAGTCAGTAAATATAAAGAACAGCTATATCAGCCCTAAGCCAGGTTTGTTTTATATCGCTGTTCTTAAATGAATTCCTTTCAGACTAATGTCACACTATAACCTTTTAGACACCAACAAAGTAATGCAGTCATAACAAAATGTTTGTCAGTCTGCATGAGTTGTGTCAAATGTTTCTGTGACAGGACCTTCAGTTCTTCACATTCTGCAGATATTTAGGGCCTGGTGTGACCACAGACTGCTGCTGGGAGCTGTTAAAACTGCCTGTGTGCGCACGCTGGGCGTGTGCGAGGGTCAGTCGGAGACCATCGCCCAGGTTTCCATGGCGACAGACATAACAGAGGCGCAGATATGTGGACTGTTGTGAAGTTCTGTTGAGCCAGTCGCCATGGAGACAGTGGCGTCAGCGGCGCAGTCATCGTCAGATGGATGTTTAATGATTCCTGATGCTCAGGGTCTGGCACAGCGTGTAGCTAAACAACATGCCTCATGACTGGAGTCACACACACACACACACACACACACACACACGTTGCTGCGTGTTGTCCTCTTCATCGCAGCGCTCTCCTCCTCGTCTTCATCAGTAAAAGAAGCGATGATGATGATGAGTTTTTCTGGTCTCTGAAGTTACAGCTGACGTGACATCACGTCTGCAGGATGTTTGTGTTCAGATGTCAGAACATTTGCCAGACTTCACAGGTGTGTGTGTGTGTGTGTGTGTGTGTGTGTGTGTGTTTTGGCTACAGAGTGAGGACCATGTTAGGTTTTTAATCAACAAAATGAGGTCATTTTTGGAAAGTGAGGACATTTTCCTGGTCCTCACTTTGTTTGCAGCTCTGCTGTGCTTTACTAGTTAGGTTTAGAGGTTTGGTGTGAATTAAGTTTTGGTTCAGGTTAGGGTTAGCTATAGACCAGTTATGGTTAATTTTAGTGAAAAAATCTGGGTTATGCATAAATAGAGTTACAAAAATAAGTGGGGGGGGGGGGGGCTTGTTTTTTCTACATTGTGGGGACAATTTTCCCAAAAAAAAAGCAGCCTCATGGGGACTGAACATGCACCGTGTGGACCAATGCCCGGTACCCACGGGTCCAAATGCAAATTGCAAATTATGGGTGGGGGGTTAGGTGTAGGACCATGGTGTGAATTGAGTTTAGGTTCGTTTTAAGGTCAGATATGTACCTGTGACGTTAATTTTACGGTAAATGGTCAGATATGTACCTGTGACGTTAATTTTACGGTAAATGGTCAGGGTTAGGCTATAAAGGTGGCGCTGTGGGTCACTTGTTTTTTCAGCTGCAGAATTTACTTTCCTGATTTTTATTTTTTAATTTATTATTATTTTTTTCTTAAAGGCCAGGAACAGAACTGGGACTGTTCTGGTAAATACTAACAACCATTCAAAATAAAAGTGGTTTCAAAATAAAAGCAGCGTGAGGGTGAATCAGGGCTTAACATCCTGTCTGAACAGCTGTTTCATGCTCAGCGAGGTCTGATCAGCACTGTGCTGTCTGTGTGTGCAGGTGCTGAATGAAGTGGTGGTGGATCGAGGCCCGTCCTCCTACTTGTCCAACGTGGACCTGTACCTGGATGGACGTCTCATTACTTCAGTGCAGGGAGACGGTGAGCAGACCCCCCCCTCTGTTCAGAGAAAACACCCATAAAATAAAACCATGTCTTCTCTTTCTGTCCTCCAGGTGTGATCGTGTCCACGCCCACGGGGAGCACGGCGTACGCAGCTGCAGCAGGAGCCTCCATGATCCACCCTAACGTCCCCGCCATCATGGTCACGCCCATCTGTCCACACTCACTCTCATTCAGGCCCATCGTGGTCCCTGCTGGAGTGGAACTAATGGTAAAAATAAAACAGATCAAGTTAAACCTTTAGATCTCAGCTGCCTCTCAGGTGAAGTAACGACGTTCTGACGTGTCTCGAACAGATCACCTTGTCTCCTGACGCAAGAAACAACGTCTGGGTGTCGTTTGACGGCAGGAGGAGACAAGAGATCCAACATGGAGACTGGTGAGTTTCATCTCATCTGTTTTCATTGTTTTAAGTTTTTCTTTTCTAATCAGTTTTTTCCCCCCTCAACAGTATTAAGATCACCACGTCTTGTTACCCGGTTCCGTCCATCTGTTGCCACGACCTGGTGTACGACTGGTTTGAGAGCCTGGCTCAGTGTTTGCACTGGAACGTCCGTAAGAAGCAGGCTCGGCTCACTGACGTGTCCGACTCGTCAGACACGGAAAACTGAAGCCTCACCTGCGTTTTTTTGTTTTCCCCCCATTATTAAGATGTTCGGGGGATCCAGTTTGTTCAGAAATGAGATGAAGATCGGACTGTGATGGAGTCAAGTCAGCACATAATCACTTGTTTAAAGAGCTCGTTACACGTGTTTTATGGACTAAATGCAGAAAAAGCATGTTTCTCCTGCAGAGAAAAATAATAATGCATAGTGAACCCATAGCTTTTCATCATTAACCTGTAGGCTGCATCACTTTCATCACATCAGGGCTTTTAAATAGGAAAAACATTACGTGACTTGCTCAAATTAAAAGCGAAACCAATTCCGACCAATCTCAAATCAGTCCTCAAATGTAAATTTGTACATAAAGGATTTGAGTAAATTTATTTGTTATATTTATGTGATGTATTTATTTTCAAAATAGTTGAAAATGTTTCTAATTAGACGGCTGTAATTGTTTTCTGCTGTATATTTTGTGAAATTTAGACCCTTTTTGTTAGCTAAAGCTTCAGCCTTAAAGCTGAATTCAGATCACATGTAGCAGAAATCATGACTGAGAAACTCAAAAAGACTGAAAATAAAGCGTAACTCTTCAGATTATAGTTTGTTTTTGGCAGTGGGGTGTTGTCAAACCGAACACGCAGCAGTGAAATTCTAACAGAACTTGCAGTTAAACTCACAACTTGAGTGCTGTTGTAGATAACCTGCAAGGTAAGTGATTTCATCCAGCAATAAAATAAAATAAGTCTGAACAGAAAGGCGCTTTCTAGGTTTTTATTGCAATGATAACATACAGATATATTCCAGACAGTTTCAGTAAATTACAGTCCAATAACGCAGGAGACAGTCTTCAGAATATCGACTCGGTGATCAAAAAGGACACAGTTCTCCACCAGAGAGAAAACATGGAAGTTTTTTATATATATATATAATTTTTTTTTCATTTTTTCCCCCCCAGAAATGTGCGAAGAGAAGCAGCAGCAGAGAGTAATACTACGACACACAACAGACCGATACTGTGCAACAGTCAGGAACAACTGGGAGAAGTGATTTCAGTCTTTTTGTCTAAATTGCTTTCTGGAGTAAAGTGAGACGAGACTTGAGTTTGTTACAGAGATAAAAACTAACAAAAATAACACAAAAAGACGAGGTGACATGCAAGGAAGTCAGACAGCTACGAACTTAAGTTACAGTAAAAGGAGAAAAACTAAAAATGGTCTGAGTGACATGAAGAACAAAACGCTAAAACGATGAGACGGCGTCACAAACCATGTTTTTTCTAACTTCAGGTTAATAATTGACAGCCGTTAGTGAGAGAAAAGCAGGTGTGGCGACGCACAACCAACCACAACAGTTAATAATGGAAAACATAGAAATGTATTTTTTTAATCCCAGATGCTTCAAATAATTGTTAATCTCATGAAAACAAAAATAAACTCTGGGGAAGAATCCTCCTCCTCCTGACACCAACAGGTTTTCTTCAGTTTCTTTTTGAGTATTTTCTGCATATATCTGATACAACAAAAGAACTCATATATAAATGATACATCTGTATGTTTTATATTTAAATATAATCCTCGCTATGATTAAAAAGGCGCATCTAAAACATGTCTACTTTGAAGATGAGGTGAGGGGAAACAGCTTGGACCTCGATAACCGGACCACGGCTTCAGCTGATCAGCGAGTGGAGCTGAATTTAAAAAAAAAAAAAAAAGGAAGTACGGTCACCACTTCCACACGACGGCTTGTGCAAGATGATGAAAGTCGTTGGGATTAAAAGTCTAGTGCGAATATTATTTAATGGTTTCATTGAGACCAAAAATGTTTGTTGAGCTGTACGTTAACAACCTTTTTTCTGTGCTTTGTGACAAGTTTGACACTGCGGTCGCAAAATAAACAACGTAGCCCCCTTGCTTTTATATTAAACAATTCATAATGGTAATCTGGTGTTTGGCACTAGTTTTGTTATCTGGTACAGTTTAGTTGTTTAGAAACGTCAGCAATCTTTAGACGTACATCAGTGGGGTCCAGTTGCCCCGTAAAGAACAAGTTTTTCACGCTGAGAGGAGAATTGCACAATGATCATGAGCCATTTAAATAAAAGCTGAAAATGACCAGTACCTGACCGTCCAAACACTCGATCTGCCACAACACGGTCAATTTCATTAAAAGTTTCATTTGAATAAACTACAGGATTTGGTCCATCTGGTTTAGTTCAGGTTTCAAAGCCGACGTTCTGAACGTCTCTGCCTGAGGAAGCTTTCAGCGGCGTTCGACTGACACCAAACAGAAGCGAGGAGACGAGCGCATCTATAACCGATCATCTTCCTCGTAGCTCAAACGGTGGAAATAAAAAACACCAGAGGATGCGGTGGTTTTGGTCTGACAGGTTCCTCAGGCAGACGCGTTCAGCTGCAGCGTCGTTTCAAGATAAATAACATTTAGGAGGGAGGAATCACAACCACCACTTATATGGTTTACTCTGTTCTGGTAGCCGTAAAACTTTGTGTTGTGTCTGTCCCGGTTCTGTTCGGTGGACGATGGAGCCTCTCCACAGTCAGAATGGAGGACTGGCAGGGAGGAGGGGAGGAGGGGACAGAGAAAACAAGGTGGTGGGATTGGAAGGTTTATGTTTCAGCAGTCTGTGCTTCAGTCTCACTCCTGCATCCTTGTTTCCTCACTTCCGATTCCTCGTCTTCCTCCTCCTCATCTTCATCTTCCTCCTCCTCCTCTTCAGTGTGCTGGTCGAGCTCCTCCCTGGTGATCATTTCAAAGTCGTTTCCGTTGCTGTGCTGCGAGCCGTCGTCCTCCCGCCGGTCGCTGTCTGTGTCCGAGTGGCGCTCCTCAGCTCCCTCCCCGTCCGCCTCTTTGCCCTCTTCTCGCTCCTCCTCGTCCTCTTCCTCGTCGTCCTTCTTTTCGCTGTCGGACTTCTCGTCGCTGTCGGACTTCTGAGCCTTTTGGGCGCCGCCGTCCTTCTCGGTCTTGTCCGAGCCCTTCCTGTCGGTGGCTTTCGGTCCTTTGTACTCGTGAGTGTAGAGCGGCCGGAACGAGTCGATGAACCCGACGTCCGCCGTCAGGTTGGGGAGGAACCAGAAGTGATGTCGCCCACCGGTCACCAGCCAGATGATGAGGAAGAGGATGCAGCGGGCTGAGGAGAGAGGAAACAACGGATGAGACTGAGCTCACTGGTTTTCACATTTACTGACACGTGTCCTCTATGAATACTTACCGACAGCTAGCAGCAGGATGCTGGCCACAAAGCAGCCGGCTGCAACACTCAGATAGTAAACTCCAACACGCATCTCAGCTGGCCACAGTGGGAAGAGCGTGGCTGCAATCACTGCAATAACTGGGAATAAATAAACAAATCAGTACAGGATTATCCCTCGTTCCCTTCCTGTTCAGTAATTATCACTTAAATGTCTTTTGTCTTACCGAGGATAAGGCCCATAGCAAACGTCTTAAAGTGGACAGGATCATAAATCCACACATAAACCTGCAGGAGAGAGATTTTAGTTTTTCATGTGCTAAATGCTCAACACTTCCTGTTTCTGATGATTGTTTGGATTCTCACCTCGTTTCCATCCAGAAACAGTTGATCCTCATGAGGCTCCAATTTGAACTTCTTCTTCACCTCTTTCTTCTTTTTTGGAGTTCCTGGACTGTCGTCCTGTTCATGAAAGAACCACATTATCTATATTCAAACTGTATCTTTATACACTCAAAATGTGACCAAACAGACTGTGTATAAAATACTTCCTGCTTAAATGTTCAGTTTTAACAGGGAACAAAGCAGCGTTGTGTTTGGCTCTACAGAGAACTGGAATAGAGTCGAGTTTATTTTTCACACAGTTGTGTTCTGCTCGTCTTTACAAAACACCAGGTCCACACCAGTGGAACTTAAAGACCTGCACTTTAAACCTGTGCAGCAGGTCCATATTCACTCACTGAGGGTCCAGTTAGGACATCTGTCAGCTTAAAGCAAATATTACCGTCAGTCAGAACAAACAGTTTGGGGGCGTCTCTGATTCAGACTGGTCCAAAATGTCCTGATCTCTGACAATAAAATGTTTGTTTTTTGTTGATGCCTCTACTCACACTTTTCTCTTTCTTGGTTTCTGCGACCTCAGACTCTTTCTTCTTTTCCTTCTCCTTCTTCCCCTTTTTCTCCTCCTCCTTGCTGCTGTCGCTCTTGACTTTTTCCTTCTCCTTCTCTTTCTTGGGGTCTTTCTCCGGCTTTTTCTTCATCACCTTGAGCGCTCGGTGGAAGAACTGCTTCTTAAGAAGTCTGAGGAAAACACGAGGCGCAGTTTGATCGTCAGGCACTAATGTAATTCACAAATTAGAGTTGATAAGTTTGATTTTAAACTCCAAAATAAAACATTCAAATATCATAAGGATGATTCTGCTTTGGTTTTGCTGAACCGAAAAAAAGCACTTTCTCAGTAATTATATATTTTGGTAGTAACATCTTTGGGAAGTGTAACTTTAGGCACAAGAACAAATACAGATTTAGCTACTTCAGCTTGCACATAAAAAATAAAAGGAAATTAAAAGCCATGCTGCTCAGAATAAATGAGGAGTGTGTCAGAGCCGACCTGTTGCAGTAATCCACCACCGACTCTCTGCTGGTGAACACAGCCTCCTCTCCCTTCTTAGCTTTGGCCCATTTGGAGTCCAGCAGACAGTCCACCGCCTTGGAGGCTACATGTACAAACACAAGACAACAATCAGGACTTGAATCAAAATGTCACGTAGATATCAATAAATGTGGTTAATGCCTCACATCTCTTGAAGTTCTTTTATTTTAGCCACTCCAAAACCAAACAGCAAACGAGCTGATCTGACGAACTTGCAGCTCAAATATTAAACCAGAAGTTATAAACCGACTTTATCATTCACTCAGATTCCACAAGTCCAATACACCTGCTCTGAGCCTTGGTTTCTGTTAACGACTTGATTCGACTCATGAGAGCGTTCTCCATGAAACCAGCTGCCGATAATTACACCACCAACAATAACTGAGCCTGACAGCCGAACAATGAGCTGAAAGAAACAGCTACAATTACCACCGATGTTTTACGCTTCCGCCAATCAGTCAAGCTGATGTCTCCAGACTGGCTGTAATATACAGTATGGGATGAAAACTTTAAAAAGGTACCATATTTATTCATGTATAATACGATCTCATGTATAATACAAACCCCCCTTTTTTGAGCTTAAAAAGCATAAAAAAATTAATCCTCAAACTACCTCCAATTTCATACAGACTTCAAGATTTTTCAGCCTTTGCAGTCTTTATACATATCAGTAAAATGATCATCGGACTGTTCTTTTTATTTTAACAGCATGTCAGAGTCAAGTCAGAGACTTCACATGAGATTTGGGCCATCTTGTGGGGCAAAAGCAGATTACTTCCTACTCGAGAGCGCCCCCTCTGGTGGGGAAACATTTTTCAGGGATACAAACTTTTTCAAAACACCGGTAGACGGCCGCCATTACAGACGAACGTGATTTTGTTGTTGTTCCAGCAGCGCCCCGGTCACACGCTAACGTCATTAGTTCATTATCATTAATAAGGTGCAGGACTGCTTTTTTCTTTTTTTTTCCACATCATGTCGCCTGCCTGGATCTGTTATCTCGCTCTGAAGCACAGAGGAGTGTCAGAGGTAAGTTTGCTTCAACTGCTTTTTACGATGTGGTCTCATTTCCGGACTCAGGCATTTTGTGAATGAAGCCGATATTTCAGTTAAAATACACAAGTGAAAATATTTATCTGAGTATAGTACTACCCCCCCAACTTAATGGATGATTTTATGGATTTAATTTTACGTATTGTACTTGAATAAATACGGTATTTAATGGGTGAGAAAACAAATGTAAGTTTTCTAACTAAATGTGGAATACAGGATTGATTTCTCTGTTTTGCCTCTGAGTAATCATGTTGCCTAATGTCCAAAAAAATGTAGAAAATCACAACAGCAACATTATGTCACTCTGAATTTTACATTCAAAATGAAGCTACAGATTAGGGATATATATTTCAGCATGCTCATCAATCCAAAAAATAATTAAATTTTTGAGTAGATGTGAAGCCGTATGTGATGGGAAATACTTTAAAATCAAAGGTAAGCACAATGCATATTGTGTGATTACTCTGCAGAAGCTGCACCTCAGAGAACACAACATTTCCCATGACAAATGTCACAAAGCTAGATGAAAGTAAACGCAGTGAGGAGAGACAAAGTCACACAGCAGCTGAGACAGCGTGAACACAATTAACCGTTCAGTAACAACGCCTGTGCTTCATGATAACCACGCAGTGATCCACCCTCCACCCAGAACCGAAGCTGCGTCTTCAGCCGAGCACTGACCGATGAAATAGTCGACTCGGTGGCCCATCATGTTCGTCGACTTGGTGGGGCAGTTAAACCGAAGGTACTTGGCCACCGCCTTCTCCTCCTTGGTGGGCTCGCTCACCTCCTGCAGGAACACACACATCAGCAAAGTCAGTCTCACGCCGGGCCAAATAACAATTTTTTATGATAACAGACAAGCAGGAATATTAAAAGACTCAAATCCCAGATGTAGGTTCAAACCATCATCGCAGTCATCACATTAAAAACCAAGCAGTTCTACCACATTCAATAAATTTTATCTTTTAAATTAACTCAGATCTGAAAACACATTCGGAAAAAGTTTTCCGATTACAAGATTTCATCCAACCACTTTTATAATTATAAATGCTGTTTCTTTCCTCAAAGGTGCCAGACCTTCACTGATCCACAGATTTGCAGCATCCGTAAAACAGTTGTTCTTTAATTATAGCTTTTATATTTAGCTTTTGCTTTATCTCCTCAAAACCTTTAGCTTACAGTGACCCTTTCAGGTTTTACTGCATTCTTGTGTTTAGAAAACATCAACAAAACATTTGTAATAAGGGGAAAAAATGATGCTGTCAGTAATTCGGAGAACCAGTTGGGATTAAAAATATTTAATTTTGCTTTCACTTTATTTTGATGCAAACAGAATTTGTTAAAATACAAACTTGGTTTAAATTAAATAAATTATCACTAAATTTGGATAAAACTAACTACATGATATTCAGTAAAAAAAAAGTTATTGATATTCCATTTAGACTTGAGGGTGTTGAGATTAGTAGAGTCAGTGAGGTGAAGTTTTTGGGTGTCATTATRGATGAAAAGCTGTCATGGAAACCTCATATAAATCACTTAAGAATAAAAATATCCAAATCTATAGCAGTACTGTATAATGTAAGGGACTTATTTAATGACAAAGCTTTGTTTATATTATATAATGCAATAATTGTTCCACATTTGATCTATTGTATTGAAGTCTGGGGAAAAGCATGCAAAACAATTACAAATCCCATCTTTATTTTACAGAAAAGAGCTATAAGAATTATTACCAGAAAACATTACAGTCATCCTTCAAATARATTATTTTATCAATTGAAATTATTAAAATTTTGTGAGTTAGTTGATTATAATATTTTGCAGGTCATGTATAAAGCACATAAAAATCAATTACCTTTTAATATCCAATTAAATTTTGCAAAAAGAGTAAGTAATTACAATCTCAAAGGGCTAGAGATGTTTGTAAAGCCCAAGATTAGAACAYATTTAAAAGACCGGTGTACTTCAGTACAAGGAATAAGGTTGTGGAATAATCTGGAAAGTGGTTACAAAAATGCTGGCTCTCTAAGTCTGTTTAAGAAAATGATAAAAGCTAGTTTGTTGAAGAAATATGAATTCCTGTAATGAGCATTCATGAGAATTGTCGCTCAGGAGTGAGTTGAAGTTTTTTGTTATGCTGTTGGAAGACTATTGTTTTAATTTATTTACTGTTTGAAAAAAGGGGCAGATATTAATAAGATTTTTTTCTTCTTTCTGCTACCTTTCATTTTATTTGTGATTTGTATTTTTTTTGTTGAGTGTATATTATTTGTTGTATGTTTTAATGAAATGAATAAAAAATTAAAGAAAAAAAGAAAAAAAATTTTTGAAATTGACAATTTTTTTTCCCTGCCAGCTCCTGTTGAGCTCTGAGAGCTTCATTTGTATAACAGATGGCATGATTGTGAAACTTGGGGATTCCCCTTTTGAAAACTAGGGCTGGAATTCCCTAAGATAACCATCCTGACATGCAAAAAAAAAAAAAAAAAAAAAAAAAAAAAAAAAAGTTTTCAAACCAGCACTCTCAAACAAAACTAGCTTGTTAGGCCAGGTGATGAATGAAAAAACTATGCATAATTTTGAAGCTTTTGAGGTGGAAAATATAAAAACACATTTTTTCTTAAGTAGGCTAGCATATAGAAGGGCTAAATTTGTCATTCGGGTGTAAGCTCTGTCTGCAGGACTATAAAAAATGTTGCATGTATCACATCAGTGCAGTAGTTATAAATTCATGTCTTTTTATTCAATGTTGATAAATACAAGCCTACTTTCATACTCAGTATTACCAGAATCTCCTTTAATGAATTAAACAACTCCAAATGATACTACTACTTGTTTATAACCACATTAAATGTTTTTTACAGTATAATGCGTTGTTAGAAGAGTTAAAATGACCTGTAGCCACTTCATAAACTGTTGCATTATCCAAAACCTACGTTTACACACTGAGCCCATTTATTTTAAATGCACACCGAGCTGAACATAAATGTATTTTGCTGAATGACTTGTTAAATTCCCACAGACTGCTACACATTATGTAAACACGCCAGGTCGAAGCTGACGCAGCTTTTAGCCCTCAAACCTATTTAAAACTGTTCAATTTCGATGAACGCGTCACACACTTTTTACGACAAAAGACAAAAGCAGCACAAAGTGCAGAGACGTCGTTAAAATGTCCAAACCAACATGTGAGTCCTACCGGCGGTGAAAATTACATAAAACTCCAAAACGTCCTAAATAAAAGTAATGTTTGTTTTCGGTGCCAGGCTAATGCTAGCCGCTGTTAGCCTCCATCTGTTTTCATGTGCGGCTTGTTAAGTACGGCTCCTCCTCGTGCGGACGCTGCGACTGAAACGTTTAAAAACAATATGTCCCGGGCGAGTCCTAAGACCTGAGCCCGGCTTTTATTCGCGGTACGTCGAGAGGCAGGAGGGGCGTTTTGTTTTTTTAATCCCGAATGAGGTGATGGTACCTGGATCCGCTTCTTGTGCCTCCTGCGTTCCGCCATGATCCTCCAACTCAGCTTCTCGCGTGCGCATATCGAGCACGCGCACCAAATCTCGCGAGACTAAACGTGAACTAAAGGTGTCCTATTTAAAGAAATGCAGCAAAAAAAGGTAATGATTCAGCTTTTAACACACATTTTAAACTTTTGTTATTTCACAATACTTTTTATTTGAATAATATGGAAGCCCATTTCCGCCACCCTGATAAAAAATAAAACTTGTATCTCATAATTATGACTTAGCTATCTCATAATTATGAGATACTGTCTCATAATATGACTTAGCATCTCATAATTATGAGATACTATCTCATAATTATGACTTAGTATCTCATAATTATGAGATAGTATTTCATAATTATGAGACGCTAAGTCATAATTATGAGATACAAGTTTTATTTATTTTTTTTTATCAGGGTGGCGGAAATGGGCTTCCAAAGAATAATATATTGATTAAGCAAAATAAAATTTCCATAACCTCCTTTTGAATTTTTATTAAGGACCTTTTATTATCTTTTCTTACACATTCAGTTAAAAAAGATTTTACCACTGATTCCTTTGTATAAAAAAGCACTTTATTGCTAAAGAAATGCAAATAAAATAAAATAAATAAAAAAAAACATGCAACATTAAATCAAAGATGAGCAATTCCATTTTTTGGTTGTCAGATTTAATTAAAATAAAATGTGACCTAAAAGAATAACAGGAACCTACATCCAAACAGAGACAACTGTGTGCAACGATAAACAGAAAAAGAAAACTGATGCAGAAACTTAGAGTATCAGGTTTTGCTGTTAAAAATATGTACAAATAAAGAAAATGTAAGAGACATTTGGTCACAGTAAATGAAAACAGCATCTTCATCCCAGTGAAATACTGTGTAAACAACCATGGCAGAAACGGTTCATCAGGCCTGAGGGGTGCAGACTGGTCCGGGCTCAGTTTGTGTTTTATCAGCGACGATCAGGCGGTCTCATTGCTGACTAAAGGAGGTGAACAGTTTTCTGCTTCGTGAAGGTGTTCTGAGGATTTCATGCCGTCGGCGTCTCTTGGGCTCGCCATCATGTCCTCGCTGTTGCAGTTGCCGGGGGAGGGGATCTCTGGGGAGCGGTCCCCAGGCTTCTCGGGGGTGGCCTGCAGGGTGGAGCCGGTCAACGGCAGGTTCAGCATGTACAACATGCTGCCCATCCGCCTGGACACCTGCAGAGGAGGGAGGAGAGGTAACTTTACTGATGTAATGAAACACAATCACTATTGTTCTCTTCATAAGTTTACTGAGCTTTTCTTTGCAAAACAGACATTTATTGTGAGAATTTTGTTACACCCATTCTTTTCATCAAAGCTCTGTTTATCGCCCTCATTTTGGGCACGGTTTAATTTTTATTTTCTAGCTTGTGCACCTGTGAGCGAATCTTCAGAGCTGGCCCCAGTTTGAGCCCCAGTGTGTCCAACAGGTGCTCCTCCGAAAGAAGAGGCAGGGTCTCTCCATCAATCATGTGGTCCTTAAAAACCTGGTAAAACGTTCCCACGTTAGACAAATAAAGGCACAAAGAAAGAAACAAAACAGACGACACACGCAGAACGTTATTTCTGTCCAACCTGAGCGTACTCCGAACACGTGGGAATACTGCTGATGAAGTTGTAGACGTCATTCACCGTCCACTTCCTTATGTCTTCGGGTATTTCGTCACCGTTAAGAAAGAGGTTTGGCGGACCTGGAAAACAAAAGCCTCACCTTCAGTTAAACATAATTTAACACTGAATCGTTGCTCTTTTGTTTAGTGGAACTCACCGGCAGGAAGGAAGCCATTCCCAGGGACGGGGAACATATAAGGCATCCCTGTCAGAGTCCCGCTGTTGGACGGATACATGAATTTCTCCTGGAAAGCAGAGCTGGACATGTCTTTATCATTAGTCCCTGGGTTGGCCGCGTCTGAACACCCGTCTTGAGCAGTCGCACAGGCCTTACGTAGGCCCGCCTCCCCTTCTTTGTAGGTCTTCCTGCTCCCTGCGGCCAGGTCGGAGTCTATTTTGACCTGACGGTGCGTCTTGCCGGTGGCGCACTCCTCTCCGACGTCCCCCTTTGCCTCCGTCTCCTTCTCCTCTCCGGACGTGGCCTCGGGGCTCTGCTCTACACTCTTGTCTTCCACCGGACCCTTCAGGCTGGGCGCGTGGTTCTCCGAGCTCTTGTGGGCGGCCGGCCTCCTCCCGGCCCTCCGGCCCCTCTCCCTGTGCAGCGCGCCTATCGGCGGGTAGGGGCTGGCCGACATGAAGATGCTGCTGGAGTGCAGCTCGTCCAGGGAGGGGCGGTGGACGAAGACGTCGTGGCCGTCGGGCATGCGCTGGCGGCCTCTGAACAGCATGGGGTTGGACGGGTACGACACGGGGTTCTCCATTCCCATCAGCCCTTTCTGGTGAGCGTTCTCCAGCTCCTTCTGGTGCAGGATGGCGTTCATCTCCATCCTGACAAAACAGACACATCAAAACATGCTCCTGCATCACGTGTCTGTTTACCATGCTCCGTTGTCAATAAAATACGGGTTTGTGAGGTCTGAACTTAATTGTGTGGGTGGGATATTATTGTGAGACACTCGTGATGCTCACCTTGCTATGTTCTGCTTGTGTATGAGCTCCTGTCGCCGGGCCACTGTTTCCATGGGTTCCGAAGGCACGAAGCTGTATCCGGCTGAGGAAAAAGCAGCGATCAGTTTGAGAGACAGGTTCCCCTGATGTGAATGCGCAAAACTCTGCAGTCCGCAGGGAGAGGGTCTACTCACCAGGTCCAGGGAACGTTCTCCCAGGCAGGACGTTAGCGTGGGGGGGTAAAGGTGGACCGAGGTGAGGCCCCACGTGCATCTGCCGGGCCTCGGACGGAACCATCTCAGCTGGAGGAACCAACTCTCTGTAGAGAGAAAGGCAAACAAGATTTTAAAAAAAAAATCAGCAAAATATGTGTTGGGGCTGATCGCTGAGGTGGTTTTGGTTTTGTGCAAAAGGATCGTTTACACCTCTTTGTTTTTTAATCTTCAGCTTTAAGATTTTGCTGGAAATACTTGAATTTTGTGCCTTCAGGGTTCAAAAAGTGCTGGAATTGTCATTAAAGTATTCACAGTTGCATTGTTTACACAATAAACTGCTGTCATGTTGATTCGCTTGCTTTTAATCAAGACAAGTAAGCAGTGTTGTATAAAGTACCTCAAAGTGATACTTAAATAAAAGTACAAGCACCTTATCGTAAAATTACTTTGGTAAAAGTTAGTCTTTTTTTTTGTTATTTCATAATAATTTTTTCTTTGAATAATATATTTACTAAGCAAAATAAAATTTCCATAACCTTCTTTCCATAAAGGAATATTACTTGAGTAAAAGTCCTAAAGTATCTGATTTATTTTGTACTTAAGTATCAAAAGTAAATTACTGAGTAAAAGTGAGTGGTACGGATTTCCAAAATACATTTATTGGGAGGTGATCTCTCAAAAAAATAAACGTTTTTTTAAAGGCGTGCAGCTGTGATGGATTGTACACGGTGTCAGAATAGTAAATATTTATACTTCTCATCCAACCACAATTAAATTCACTTTATCCAGGTAAAGTTTAGTATAGTAGGATAGTATTAGGATAGTATGCAGAATAGTATTTTTTTAAAGTAACAAGCCGTAATATAGGCGTAACAACTTTCTACTTCTTGCCTTTTTAAAAAAATGTAAGGAGTAGAAGTAAAAAGTAGGCTGAAAAATAATTAAAATACAGATACTCAAAATTTCTACAGTAACAAAGTATTTGTACTTAGTTACTTTACAACTCTGCAAGTAAGCATATAATCTGATTGTGGCTGTGTTGTCTTTAATTCATAACTTCACAAAATATGATTAAATGCATTGAAAAAGTAAAATCTTCAAAACTGACTAAGGTTAGGAATTTATCAAGATGTTAGAGAAACAAAAAATATTTAAAATCTGTTTGAATGTGACTTTATGGAGGGTGTGAAGAGTCAGAACTCGACCTTTCCATGAAGCGGGGTTCAAACTGTGCTGGGACCCCCTGCAACCTTTGCTGCCCCTGGGAGAGGATCTGCGGCGCCATGGCCATCTGGTTCCTCATGATGAGCTCCTGCCTCTGCCTGAGCTCTGCAAGAAACACACCTCATGTTACAGCCAGGCTAAAGAGAAAAACAAAACAAAACAAACGCATACAGAAAAAAAACAGAGATTTGGCCCATTTCAGCTAGTTTCTAGATAGCGTTTGGCTACTTTAGCCAATAATTTGCAACTTATAGTTTCACATTTTAGCTTGCAGTTTACTTTGATAGCTTGTGTTTTGCTTCTTTTAGCTAGCATTTTGCTATATTTGGTATTTAGCTAGTGTTTTTACTTTTAGCAAGCATTTTGCTAATGTTTTGCAACTTTAGCTAGTGCTTAAACATTTTAGCTTGCCTTTTGGTACTTTTAGTTTATAACTAGCATTTGACCAGCTTATCTTTTAGCTATGGTTTGTCTCTTTTCAGTTTTTAACACATTTTCTTATTTAACCTTTTGGCTGGTGTTCTGCTTTTTTTAGTTTGAACCACCCAGTTATTCAGCGCTGATTATTTACTTTGCATTTTAGCATAAAAGTTTGGTCTATAAATTAAATGTGATTTTTAAATGTTCACCTCCAGCTGACATCCCGTTAACCAGCCGATACCAGTGCTTCTCATCCAGGGTCCCCTGCTCTCCCAGTGCCGTCATCTTCCTCAGCTGCTCTCGTGGGGTCATGACAGACGACCTTTAACCTGTAACCAAATCACTGTGAAGAAAACAATCACATTAATAACACAATTTTCTCCAAAGCTGCAAGATTCATTCCCTCTAGTAGAATCTTACAGGACAGTCAACTGTAACTATTATTTACTTAACATACAAACTAAAAGATGCTGTTGTGGTGAATTTACTGATGATGTTTAAACAGATGGTAAGTAATTCAACATGAAGCAGAATCCTTACAGTAGTTATTTTTATCACCACTAGAGGGCAGCAGTTAGCTGACTCGGTAGTTTAAAGATCAGCTTTGAGGAAATTACGTCACTACAAAACTTTAAGTTCTAACAAAATACAGTCTTGTTTCTTTTGGAAAGTCTTTGCAGACAATATGCATCCCAATATTTCCTGTTATCTTTTTCAGAATAATAATAATATTAATGATTGCTTTACTTGCTTGAACCCATACATTTGAATCCTAACCTATTTTAAACACCAGCATAAATGCTCCCTCGTTGATTTTATTCATCTTTCCTTTCTTCTGAGTAACTTTGACCCTTTCATTCAAAACACAGAGTCCAGCTTCAAATGGCCTCATTGTTTTGTCCTAATCAGCAGCCTCTTATTAGCCTTCTGCATTCCCCAAATCCCATTATAAAATATGATACTGCAAGCGGCTCAATAATCCAGTTCTGCTAATCCGAGGCCAGCCTGTGATATGCATTTGAACACATGAAGCACAGTGAACAGCTGTCTTTTCATGTTATTAATCTTCAGATGATTAAATATGTAGTCTTGTACACACATATTATTTTTGCTGTTCCTTCCTTCAGACGAACGCTGATATAAGAAAAGTATTATCCTCAGCCCCTCAAGTTCCATCTGAAACCCATGTAATCTGCGGGCTGTAATCCGCCTGTTATTCCTGCAACAGTCTGCTGCCTACATCTGCTGACCTTCCAACCCCCATCCCCACCTTCCCAGGCCCCTGCTACCCCCAGGATCCTATTAGCTAAGTCCTGGCTATACAGCACTTTAAAGGGATGTGTTGGAGGTAATCCTCACGTTTAGAGTTTTACCCTCAGCAAACCTTGCCTGTAAGCATCCCGGACAATACACCTCTAAGTGCTAAGCCTATTAGTCTCCATTAGCATCCAGGATGTCCTAAAAACACCTTGGGGATAAATCAGGGGATGCAATCGGTTTATGTGGAGCTATGTGGCGCAAACACACACAGCTCCTTCTGCAGACCATCGCTGACATCAGTGAAGGAGGATGGGAAGTCTTGTCAATGTTTACACTCTGAACACCTTTCCACGTGTAAAAACTGGGAGTTTAAGCAACAGGACGAATTACAAGATAATTAGGAGATTTGTGTTTGGAATTTAAGTGGATGAGCAGCTCACACAGATAACAGTTTAGTGTTTGTAAAGAGAATTAGCCAACACACGTATAACATAACTGATCTAAACTGTGCAGAACAAGTGCTGACTCTGTAGAGCTTTAAAAATTAGGTTTTAGAAATAGAAAAATAAGAAACCTGCAATATTTGCAAAGAAATACAAAATATTGTCACATCTAGTGGACGGTGAGTGGAAATAGAACCAAAATTTCAGGAATTTTGTGGTACTTTTAATTAAAAAAAACTAGTAAACAGAAATATTCATTAGAATTAACTTACAATCAGACAAAAAAAAAAGCTAAAAAAATGTCATAATATCCTAATTATTTCTACTTATTAGCACAAGTCTCTGCCACTGATGCTTTGCGGGTCAAAAGCTAAAAAAGTTAAAGCACCACTGATCTACACCAGAACTCAATTGAACCAACAAAACTGCCAAAACCCAGAGGAAAACACAAGAAGGATCAACACAAAACAAAGCTAAAATCCAAACACTGCGTTAAAAAACACATTTTTAAAAAAACCCTAACATTTTTCCTCAAACATCTGCTTGTAAAATATTCCAATATGAGAAAAATATACCGTAACTTCTAATACTCAAACAACTGTTTTAGTGACAACTGATACGTCAAATAAGAAATGTTATTGTGAGGCACAGTTGGTGCAGTTTTATGCAACATAGTTTAAGTAAAACATCCCAAATATAGAAAGCTTTATACTGTATTTCTGCTGAAACAGAACAGTCCTCTCAGCTGTTGTGTTTGTTTTCCCATAAAATCAGATTTTGCACCGTTTGAAGGCCTGTTGCCAGTGAACCTCACGTGTGCTGTTTTAAGTGGCTCCCGCACTTGGTGAGTGAAACCGTCACGAATGGCTGGAGCCACAAGAAAGCCTTGTCATATTAGCCCGGTGAGCAGAGGCCACACCACAGCTGCCAAATCCGGGGATTGGACTCCTCGGATTTGCAGTTGCCTGCTTAATCTCATTACAAGAATGAATTAAAGGGGAAAAAACTGCTGACAACTTAGATGGAGCCCCGAGGAGGTCATATCAGACAGGACAGAAGCAGTGTCTAGCCCCTTCCTAATCCCCTGACACAATATAACACACACACACACACACACACACACACACACACACACACACACACAC